CAAAAGATAAGAATTACACATATATTCCAGAGTATCAAATACCAAGTGATTATGATTATTTTCATATTACTACAAATAATACAATTTATGGTACAGAAATAAGAAAGGATATTGAATCACCTATTCCCCTTGTTGCAGATATGTCTTCTGATATTCTTTCAAAACCAATTGATATTTCTAAATATAGTTTAATCTATGCAGGTGCACAAAAGAATTGTGGAGCTGCTGGAGTTACTATTGTTATTATCAAGAAAGAAATATTAGGAAAAGTTCAACGAAAAATACCAATAATACTTGATTATCAAGTTCATATTCTAAATAATTCAATGTACAATACTCCTCCTGTAATATCGATCTTTACTGTTAATCAAACTCTAAAATATATTAAGAAAATAGGTGGTTTAAAAAAGATTCAAGAATTAAATGAAGAAAAAGCTCGATTGTTATATGCTGAAATTGATAGAAATAAAATCTTTAGAGGAACAGTACGTAAGAAAGATAGATCAATTATGAATGTTTGTTTTGTAATGGAAGAACAATATAAACAACTTGAAAATGAATTTTCTGAATATGCTTTACAAAAAGGAATAATTGGTATAAAAGGTCACCGCTCTGTTGGTGGATTTAGAGCATCAATTTATAATGCAGTTACAATAGAATCTGTTCAAGCATTAATTAAATGTATGCATGACTTTGAACAATTACATACTCATTAACTTAATTCGTTTCATATTAATCATTTCTTTTTTATCTAAATTTTATTATAATGTAATTTTCATATATTTTAATGGAGAAATATATACGAAAAATTTCTTAATCACCTCACAACTATCTTATATTACTTTAACATTAAAACTGATGGAATTTTCAATACACCTTTAACTATAATATGATATTGTTTATCCTCTTTAATATAAAATACTTTCTCATTGATTAATTTCTCAAGAAAATAAACAAATAAAATAATTATAAGACTTCAACATTTTGAAAAGTTATGTAGATGTTGTTTGTTTTAATAGTTTTGTTATTTCTTTGATTGAATTGTTTATTATTGTTTCATTTAGAGTTGGTTCTTCATTATTTTACTTCCTACTTCATTAGTTATATTGATCCGAGTTTTGAATATTTATTTTTATGTCATTAGTACCCTCTTAGCTTCATCATTTGTTACTTATCCTTTCACTTTGTTATTAATACTATTGATTGTAGTGTGACTTTTATAATCTTTTTCTTCTTTATTTCTCTTTATATCCTAATTTTAGCTTTTTATTCATTTTATCTTTTTCTTGTTTCTTTAGTTTTTATTTGCCTTCTTCATTTTCTTTTTAGTTATGGTATTTTTCTCTTATGATATCTTTTATCATTCCTTTTTACTTGTTTATTTAATTATGTATTGTATTATCTCTTTCCCCATTTCTTGTTATTCTTTCCTTTATAGTATTTTTCGGTTTTTCTTTTATTATTTCTTATTTTATCTATTAGTTGTTTATTTTTCTCTACTCCTTTCTCTTTATTCTTTCTACTAATTCTTCTTTTATTATATATTTATTATTCTTTTATCTTCTTCTTATCTTACTTCTTATTCTTCACTAAAGTCTTTCCCTTTTTATTTTCTTTATTCTTATTCGACATTCTTATTTTCTATACATTTACTTTCCTATTTTCTTTTATCTTATTTTTCTCTTATTTTCTTCTCTTGTTATTATTCTTTCTCATTCCTTTCAATATCTTCTTTTTTCTATTCTCTAGATTCATTACCACTTCTTTATTTCTTTCTTCATCCCTTTCTTCATTCATTTTCTATTATGTGTTATATAATTATTCTTCACTTTATTAGTTTTATATACTTCTTTTAATATTCTATTTTGCTTTTCCATTTTTCAATTTCCCTTTTATTCATCTAGATTTTATTTTTATCATAGTATTATTTTATAATATCTTCACTTTATCTGTTTTTTATTCATACTTCTTTTGTTTTTCTTATATTTTATCATTTTATCCTATTTTTAAATTCTTTTTGAAAAACTATGTTGTTATAAAAATTAAGTTATTCTTTTCCTTCATTGATGACTTTATAAATATGCCTCTGTCTCTTCAATAATAAAAGAAAAATGAAATGGCAAAGCGAATTAATAAGAAAAAATTTAATTAAAAGAAATTAATGTTTAGAACTGTCGACAACTCCGTCCTCATCTTCATCATAATCTCCGCCATCATAATCTCCGCCATCATAATCTCCATCATCATCCTGGAATCCACTTGAGTCGTCTGTGTATTCATCTGATTCATTTTGTTGGTCACCTGGTTTAACAAAATAATCTGAAACAATTTCATCTCTTGGAAGAACAACATCCTTAACGTAATTAACAAATTCATTGTTACCCATAACTAATTCATAAACAGGTGATGTTTCATCTTTATCTTCAACTGATTTAAGGGTAGTAATCATAATTTGGTTAGCAATTAACCAATAATCTGGTGCAATATTATTGACTTTTTTAATTTCAATGGCTTCTTTATCTTTTTCAATCATTCTTGTTAGCAATTTTCCTTCATCTAATAACTTTAATTTTAAACAATTAACTTGTCCATTTAAAACAGATGAAACAGTCATTTGAATTGTTTGTCTTACTACTGTACATAAATGGTCTCCATAAAAAACATCCATCATTGAACCAAGTACATTTTCTGTAACAATAGTATCATATACTTGTTGGAATCCACTTAATACAAGTGAAAGAATAATATAAACAAGATTATTTGTAATACTACCTACCTTTCTTGTAGTAAATACTTTTTCAAAATCACAGACATGTGGCATTAATGCCTTAAAAATACCAGGAAGGTTATTTAAAACACTATAAGTTAGAACTGTTGAACAAGCAAGAATATTACTAATAATTCTAAAGCATTGTTCTACTAAAAAGTCATTATCTGATTCAAAAACATATGTAATAAAGTCTTTTAAAATTGGTTCATTATTAAATCGTGTAATGAATTGCAATGCTGGTGAATCAACACTTGAAACTTTCCATAATACAACATTATGAATGAATGATGAAATATTTCCAATAGTATCAATTGATTTAGTTGTCATCAACGTTTCTAACATTCTTGCAACAAAGTTTCTTTCACATATCCAATTAATACATCCAGTTTTTCCATTGTCATCTTCTAATTTCATTATTTGAAGAATTGTTTCAAGTAATCCAGCAAGGTCTTGATGTGCCATAATTGTTTCTAAAATATTTTCATTTTTAATAAATAAGTCATAAACAACTGAACCATCTACTTGAACTAATGACATAAGAACTTGTCCTGCAGCACTCATTCTTGTTTCATTTTCACTTAATAATGCATCAAAAAGATAATTAACTAATTCCGAATTAATTCCAATAGCATCTACAACTTTTACTGGTTCATCCCCAAACATTGACGAACAAATAATATGGTATTTTGAACAAAGGTTTTTGTCCACATCTTCTGGAAAATCTTCAGTTGTGTATTGAAGAATTCTTTTTAAGTTATCTGGTTTAGAACAGAATTCAATAAGATCATTATTTGAACGAAGTTCTTGATTAAAATCTTCGTCGTCCATTAACTTTTCTAATGTACAATCTTCTTTTCCAAGAAGAATGTCAATAGGTGATTGTGTGGGTGGAAATTGAAACATCTTTGTCCAATAATTCATTCCCTTCAATGTGAGTTTCTTTACTGTTTTAATGTGTTTTTTTTTTACAAAATTGAATTACACCTCAACACAGAATCTAAAAAATTGGATCGATCAAGAAAAAACTTGAAGACAAATGGTTTTAAAAACAAACTATTTTCGTTTGGACTTATCAGTTCATTTGTTATTTTTGATTTCATTTTTTATTTTCATCAAATTTCTGCTCTCTTTGCTACTTGTATGGATCTTCTAATATCATTGGACCAGTTTTTTCCTTTTGGACCACAGTCATTTATCTCTTCTTCTATTCCATTTCGATATATTTAAATTTATGGTCCCTTTTTCAATATATTTTCGGGAAGTATCCATAACATCTCCAAACTTTTAAACTCTACAAAATATTTTAAAAGTTTTATTTTGGTTGTAGAATAAACAGCAACTGAAGTGCAACCACTTAGTACTTATTCCTGATTTTGTTTATCCTTTTCTTTTTGTAATAATGAAATTTACTTATCCAACAAACTTATAGAAGGAAAATATTACTCCTTAAAAAGAAAAAAAGAAATTCATAAAATTTCTTTTTAATTTGTAAATTTTATTACCCTGGTTTAAGGTTTTTTAATGGTTTAAAATATAATTTATCCAATTTATATCCCTTTACTCTTCTTTCTCCACACTTAATACTCTCAGACTTATTGTGGCTTTCTTTTAGTTATTTTATTATCCCATTTTATAAATACTAGAGTTTTTCATAGTATTTAGTTAAATCATTTTTTATAATTATTTGACTAACACTTAACTCATTCAGTCTTCTATTAACTCTCTTTAACCTACAATAACTCAAAGTGTCTTTTCATCTGAATATGTTTATGTTCAACAGAAAGTCAAATGAAAAGGTATGACTCATAAACTCAACTCGAAATGCTCATGAAAATGTTATGGACTACAGAAATGTTCAGGTTAAAAGAAGAAGCAGCAGGTCCAAAAGTGATGTGATTCAATCACTTATTTCATATACAAAATTAATAACAAGGTGTTATTTCAAGAATCTGAAACACAAACTTCAAAAATGGAAACATAGAAAAGAACTTCAAAATATTGAAAGAGGAATGTTCCTCTCTAAGCCAACACAGGAACAAAAAGCTGAAGAATTAATAGATTGCTTAAGGAAAAAAAGAAGTGAAACTGTTTTAAAAGAGTTAGAAAACAGCAAAGAAAATGATTGGATTAAAAATACCTTAAAAGGATTTAAGTTATTAAGACTTGCAAGTCAAATTGATAGTGTTGGAGTAGTGAGTTATATCATTGAACATTATCCGGAACGATTAAACTACCAAGATGTGTATGGGAAATCATGTCTTTTTTATGCTGTTGAACAAGAACAATGGAATACTGTGAAATATTTGATTAGTAAGAATATTAATTATTATATGGCAGATAAAAATGGAAACTCATTATTACATATTCTTGCAAAGATTAAAGCCAAAAAGGAATACGAGGTTATATATTTTGAATTAGTACAAAAGCTTATTTCTCATAGAAGGATAGTGAGAGGTAAAAATATACTTGGTGAAACACCATTGCATATTGCTTGTCTTAATAGTCACAAGAAATTGATTCAATTACTTATTGACAACAAATCATTAATACATTGTAAGACTGAAAAAGGATTAACTCCTTGGGACTATTGTCAATTTAGTGATAAGATTTGTATTGATCTATCTACAATGAATGACCCAGATGATGGCACACCAAATAGTGTCTCTCCATTTTCGAATGAATCATTTAGTGATAGTGAACAAAGTGGAGGAAATAAATTAAGTAAAGGTCAAGAGATGTTATCACCTCGTTATGTTTCAATAAAGAAAGGTCACGAAACACCTCTTGAAACAAAGAACACAAAAGAAATA